TTCCCACTTGCTGGATGCCTTGCCCTTCTCTGCTGCTTTTGTCAGTTACCCGCACTCCTGGAGCACCTTCCGGGTTAATCCCTTAAGCTGCTGTGGGTGGCGTCTCTTCAGAGTAGCACAGAGCCCTGTGGGGAGTGGCAGGCGTGCTGGTATGCTCCCCTGTGAAAGTGGCACCCCTGCCAGGCAGCTGTGCGCTGGCAGCGGCCTTTGGGTCTGGCCCGGGAGGCTGTTCACTGGGTTGAAATTCTGGGAGGCTTCTGGGGGCACAGCTGTTCATGGGCTGCTCCTTTGCCACTTCCACCGGCTGCCTCTGGCTCCCAAGGGCCACTCCTGGGACCCTCTGGTGCCGCCCGTGCTTGCGCTTGCCTCTCCTGAGCCCCTCTGGTGCCACCGCTGCCGGCGTGCACGGGCCACTCCTGGCCACTCAGTCGCCATGGCCGTGGGTTCACACAGACCACTCCCAGTCCTCTCTGGTGCTGCCGCCGCCGGCTCATCCAGGCCACTCCCAGCCCCCTCCTCAGCTGCCAACGTGGGCTCGTGTAGGCCGCCCTGTTGCCGCTGCTGTTGTCCCACACGGGCAGACTCCTGTCTTCTCGGCTGCCGCTGCCATGGCTTGTGCAGGCCACTGCTGGGCCCCTCTGGTGCTGCCTCCCCCGAAGTGCGTTGCTGCTCTCTCACTACTGGGCCGGTGTGTCGGGGTCCGCAACAATTGGGGGAATGACTGGCAGGCTGCTTATCACCATGAAGGGCTTCAGAGCTGCACTGCCGTCCAGGGGGTTTGGTCGCCTAGAGTTCGCCAGATTCCCAGGTACTGGGGTGTCTGTGTCAGGACGACTTCATTCAGCTGTGGGGTCCCTGTCCCTTTAAGACTTTCAAAAAGCACTCGCTTTTCTTTTGTCTCAAGGGCACTGGTTGCGGGGACCTGCTCTCTGGTTTTGCTTTTCTGTTTCTCTAATATCCAGCACCCAGTGCACCGTGTGTCTGCTCTGATGGGGCAGATTTCTAGAGTTGGTTGTTTAGCAGTCATGGGCTTTCACTCCCTTCCTGCTCTGACTCCTTTCTTCCTGCCAGGGTCTGGGATAGGGGGGCGTTTGGTTGCCACTGAGCCGCAGCTTATATCTTACCCCCTTCATGTAATGCTGAGTTCTCACAGATGTAGATGTAGCCTGGCTGTTGTACTGTATCTACTGGTGTCTCTTTGAGGAATGGTTGTATTTGTTGTATTTTCAATTTTGGGAGGAGATTTCCACTGAACTACTCATGCCACCATCTTGGCTCCTCAGTTTAATTCATTTTTGAAATGTGTCTATTACTGTAGGGACTGGGACTGTTGTGTTTCTTTTTTGTGCCATTTAGTTGGGCTAGAAATAGACCTGACACTGTATACATGTGTGTGTGAGTGCATGATTGTATATGAATAAGAGGAGGCATAAGAAATCAGTGAGTAAGTTAAGAGTCAGTTAATAAATGCATTTGGGTTACTGGTTAGCCATAAAAGTTCAAATTTTAATTCTCACTAGACAGCATTCTAAAATGAATCCCAGTTGACTGAAAGTGCTATGTAAAAAATGTATGCTATAGAAAAAGAAAACATAAAAGTTATGTTTTTACTTCTCTCTGAAGGAGGGGGGACTTACAAATTTTAACAGGAATGGAAGAGATAGTTAACCAATTGACCTAGAACCATTCACTAAATGACCCTTTCTTTCTCACTAGTATGTGATACTCATAGGAATTCACTTGGATCATCTCATTTATCCCTGATATATCACCACATAGTTAAGCATTATTTTCTTTGGCTGAGAGAAAAGGCATATTTTACTTCCCATGCTACTTAAGAACTTGTACCCCAGGCTACAAGGATCTGTATAGAGAGATAAGGCAAGAGACATGAGTATATCAGTTAATATTCATTCATTTGCAAATAAGCTTTTCCAAAAATGCTTACACAGTAAGAAGATCTATTCATTTATACAAGAGGGGTGTTTTATTCCAGTGACTCTGGATCTGTTTCTCTGTACTTCCTTAAGCTATACCCTTCTTTCAGTGTAGACTTCAGTTCCAAGCTGGTTTCTCTTTGTTAGTAAAATGGGTAAAGATCATGACAGATTTTGCATCCACATGCCATGACATTCAGAGGGAGAAACAATACTTTTGCTATGGATTTCTTTAAAAGTAAAGGAAACATGTTACCCAGAAATTTCCAGAGAATCATGTCTTGTTTCATTGGCTGAAAAAAGTCACATGCTCTTCCCTAACATGGTTGTTGGGTTCCACATTGCTAAGGGTTGGGGGGTGGGTGCAGAATTACATAACATAAATCAAGATAGCCCTTGAAAAGGATAGGGATTCCTTGGGTGCAAGTTTGCTGACTAAAATTATCCACTAAAATAGAGTGTTGATATAGGAGGTATAATATCCATCTAATTCAGACTTTCCCAAATGTGTGGAATCTGAATTTTAAACTTTAGGTTCTTCAAAAATGTTTGGGACCCTACTGAGATTTGGTTATCTAGTTTATAATTACTAGTATTTGCAATATTAGAATTTACAGCTGAGAAATTAAAAAAATCAAAACCAGAATAATAGATATATTGCATATTGACTTACCTAGGTATATGAAAATACATTGAAGAAAGTTCTTATTGAATGGCCAAATGTGTTAAGTGGCTTATTAAGTATTGATGATTTAAAATCAGTTATGACTCGGTCATTACTCAGTGGAAGAGGATAGGTCTTCATTTTATTATCCAACAGTTATCATACTATTTTACTGTTTAAAATGTCTGTATGCACTTCTCACTTTTTAGAGTAATGTCTGTGTTCAGCTCTCGTCATTCTTCATTTAATATTCAGTAATGAATTGTTGCAGTTGGTCCCATGCCCTCCGGTATCATTTCAATCAGTTTGCAGATCAGTTGATATCATTGCCAGTATACTCCTTAGGGTGGTGATTTGATTATACTTTCAGCAACTTGGTGTACTTCAGGCTTGTTTCCCCCAGTTACCAGTTGCTCTCTCCAACAGTTTGTCAGCTAGCGACACTGTCCCATGGTTCACGTGAACCACGTCCTATGGTTCATTACCCACTTCCTAGTTCCCACTTCATTGCCTAAACATTAACTCTGGTCATACTTACTACTTTCATTCTCTAAATATGGATTTTTTGTTTTACTGTTTTTAAAGGCATATTTTACTTCCCATGCTACTTAAGAATTGGTACCCCAGTCTACAAGGATCTATATTTTCTCCCAGCATGTGGGGAAAGACAGTATTGATTTAACTTCTAGCTCACTTCAGATGAACTGGATGAACTTGGGCAAGCTACTCAATATTTCAGTGTTGTTATTTATACTGAGAAAAAGCATGAGCGAATTATTGACAACTAATTGGTAAGCAATATATATGAAAGGTATAACTTGGTACCTAGAATATAGTAGGGTCTCAGTAAATTATATTTTTCTTTCATATAAACACATGTCAGTGATCAATAAATATTTTTGCTTAGGTATTTGAAAACTCAGTATTTTCTTCCTCATTTATACTTGAAGAGAATCTCCATTTTTGTGTTAATGCTAAGAAATATCAGTCATTTACACTGGATTCTGTCCAGGTTGCTCATTGCTATTATTCCTAATAAGAAGGTAATAACAGAGAGAAACAAATCCCTTTAAATAATTAATATATTCAGGAATTGCACTGTCATATGTGATGCATAGCTAATCAAACTGCAATGTGAGGGACACCTAATCAAACTACATAAGTGTTCAAATGCATAGATTTTTCTCTTTAAATTGTGTTTTATTCTGTTACAGATTAATAAATCATTAATATACAGATAATCTATTTCAGAAAATTTGAGAGTGAAATGACTAACACTAAAGATGAAAATTTTCCTCATTAAAAATTACATATTTTGCATGAATTAGTACTCAAACATAATCTCTTAAACTCAAGAAAGTTGAGAACTAAATTCAAATGAACAGTTTACTTGTGTCAAGTGCTATTGTTTAAGAAGGGATTAGTTCTTTTTATCGAATTAAAATTTATATACAATCTTATTTTGGTTCCAAATGTACAACAGTGTTTCTCAACAGCTACCCACATTATTAAATCCTCACCCCCTTTAGTGCAGTTACTATCAACATAGAAAGATGTTATAGACTCATTGACTATGTTCTCCATGGTGTACTACTGTCCCTTTGACCAACTTGGATTGTGACTGAGAATTATTGTGACCATTTATCTCCTTCACACCTCCATCCTATCCAGCTCAAACCCTTCCCTTGGTAACCACTAGTCACTTCTACATAAAATGAAAAGAAACCCTGCCATTTACAACATGGATGGATCTATAGGATATTATGCTCAGCGAAGTAAGCAAAGCAGAGAAAGACAAATACCATATGATTTCACTTATTTGTGGAATATAAAACAAAGGAAAACAGAATAAACAAAAAGCAGTAGACATAAAGACTGAGAAGGGATTAATTCTTGAGAACTTTGTGCTGGACATTGAATGTTATGCTTTGGAATTCTAGAATTTCCCAAGAAAATGAAGTGGAACTAACTTTTACATATGCTTTTCATTGCTAGCATTTGTTGTATTTGTTAAACATCATATTATTACCGTTTCAAGCAGTTAGTTAATAGTTTAATTATGCCTTGACTCATTTGTGACCTCGTGGATACCCCTATCCAGTTCACTGCTGCAGGAAACTGCTAGCTTAGATTTTGAAATATATTTTAGAAGACCACTCCTTCCTCATCTTCTTTGACTCATACACCACAAAGTTTTACTAATTTAATATTTTATGTACAAAGTGGTCATTTTCTATTTTCTCATTATTCCATAATTTTGAAAAACATTTTATCAATTGAAAATCAACAGGAGATATTTGTTTCAGAATATCATGAAATTTTCATCATTAATTTATTCATAATGCTTATTACCTCCTTATTTCATAGACTATAAATGAAAGGGTTTAATAAAGAAATCATTAAAGTATAAAAAATAGCGACATTATATCTTTATCTCCTTCTTTCTCTGAACTTGGACAAATATATACAAAGAGAAGAGAACCATAGAACACTGAGACAGAGAGAAAGTGAGATGTACAAGTGTATAGGGCTTTGCCTCTTCCCTCTTTGGATTTCATTTGGAAAATTGTAAAAAGGATGTAGAGATAAAAGATTAGGACTATAATAATAGAAAAGATTTGAATTGACCCCGAAAAGACAAATACCATCAGTTCATTGGTAAAAGAATCAACACAGGAAAGTCTGTATAATGGAAGAGCATCACAAAAGAAGTGATTGATTTGATGAGACCCACAGAAAGTTAACCTAAGCAGAAACCCTACCTGAATCATGGAATGCAGGTTTCCAGCTGTGTAGGCCCCTGCGGTCATCGGAATGCAGAGTTTCTTTGACATCATGGTGTGGTACTGCAGTGGCCTACATATGGCCACGTAGCGGTCATAGGCCATTGCAGCCAGGAGAAAGCAATCAGCACATTCAGTAAGGCAGAGAAAGTAAAACTGTGCCATGCATTCCCTGAGGGAAATCATTCTGTCCTTAGAAGGGAAGTTCTCTACCATCTTGGAGGTAATGGCACAGGAACAACAGGAATCCATCAGCGCAAGGTTACCCAGAAAGATGTACATTGGCGAGTGAAGACGACGCTCCATGTAAATCAATGCCACCAGGCCAAGATTCCCCACCATGGTGATCAGATAGATGGTAAAGAACTCCAGGAACAGAATGGTCTTTAGCTCTGGGTGATCTGTAAATTTCATTATGATAAATTCAGTTGTAGTAGAGTCAGAGTACTTATCCTAGTCATATCCGCCTTCTGTGTAGAGATAGAAATAATGGACATATTTGATGCTAAGATAAAGTGTATAATTTCCCTCAGATTTTCTTTTTATAATGAAATCTGCTTCAGGCTTCCCTTTGTATCTTTGGGATATAAGCACATAACTAGGGAGCATGTCAGCTTTATGATCTCAACTCTGTCACTCGGGATTCCTAAGAATATGTAGATAATTCCCGGGGGGATGCTTACAGTGGAAAAGGTTTGTTTTTTAATGTATGCATGAATAATACAAATCTAGTTTACTCATATTTTGCTAAGCATTGTCAAATAATTTCAGTATTAGTTTTTGGATTAAAGATGCCTAAAATAAATTTCAAGTCAACTTTCCTAATACACATATATTTAATCTGAGCAAAAGTTTTCATATCATCTCCCAGTAGACTGACTGTGGAAATAGTATACAACAGATATGTTAAAATTATATTTTAGGAATTGCACGGATATCACTAAGTATTAAGGATAGGACTATCATCCTTTAGGGGAATTACTTGGAAACCTAAGGAAATAAATGTCCACAGATTGTCAACTGCCTCATCCCTTTTCCCGTGTCATAACCATGTCCATAAATATTGCCTCTGTTCTTGCCATTACGCATGTTAAATTTTGCCCAAATATCTGAATCTTTTCCCTCTTTTTGTAGATACATTACATACAATGCTACTTAGTAAAGTTTTAGCCAAATGCCTGAACCACACTGGTCTCCATGTTCTGAATCCTTGAGCACATGTTATGTACCCAACCCAATTAAGAGTTGCTAGTGCATAACCTCCGTGGTGTTTTTTTCTCATGTGGGCCTGCACAATTTCTTACTAGAACTACAGATATTTGAGGTTAGCTGCAACTTCTTATTAGAGTTGTGCAATGCTTTGGAGAAAAAGCAGTATTGATTGTAGTCCTAGCTCCACCCTGAGACCTGGGATGGGCAACTTGTTTCCAGTATTCTGCCAATGATCCTTAGTGACCTTATTGGTTTCTGCAGATTGAGACAGTTAAGTGTGAAGAACATGCTACAAAAGAAATTATTCAGAATTCATCATTTTAGAAATTTAGGTATGATTCTTTCATGTTAATCATCTTTTTTTCTGTTTCCTATGAAAATTATATAATGTTTTCTAAGTATATCACATTACATTAAAAGCTAATAAATAAAAGTAAGCTTGCCTGTATACTTTAGTTTTCTAACACTAAGCAGATGAGAAAACCCTTTAAATATTAAAGAGTTTTGAGACCAAATTTTGTTTTCCTTAAAGGGTCATCTTCTATCATTATTTAGTGATCCACTAGGACATATTGACTGGTGTGTCTAATCATATAAACTGTATTGACAAAATAGGTTTATTTTACCATATAAAAGCATCAAAATAAAGCACAAGCTGAAATTTTCTTTGTTTTAAAATACTAAATATAAGCCACTTAATTATTCAGGCCTATTAGAAATAACTTTCAATATATGTGCCTGAATTATTTTATTGAATTTCTGTGTTCTTACTTGTATATTTAGAAATTCCACTTTATTAAATAATAATAGGTCATGTGAATTTCAGTTAATTCTCATCCTTGTTTCTCATAGGTTTCAGTTTTGAGAAGAGCTATGTAAGTAAGAATTTGAAATTTAAGAAACAGTTGTATGATTAATAAATCAGATAAGTAAATATTTGTGCATGCTACTATTAAAACTAAAAATAAATTAGGATATTTCCCTTACCTAGATTTCACTGAGATGTGTTTTATAACATCTCATTGTTTTCTTCATGGTGTTTGATGTCATAGAATTTCATAATATAAATTTTGGTCTAAAACATTTGGGACTTCAAGAATGAAATCCTTGGAGACTACAGTAGGTCATTGTCATTAATTACGTCCCTTACAATTTGAAATTAAAATTTTTCATCCAATGTTTAAGGGATTTTCCTGCAATGACATCAGTTTATTTTTGTGGGTAGATTCAGTCCTCAAAACATATAACTATGTGACATTAATTGAAGATGACCTTTGAGACAATGAGGACAGAGCAACTGGCATTCACTAAAGTTGCTGAGATACTTTGATGATCATCTTGATGATTGCTACATTACTGACTTCACCAGTTGTGTTCATTATTCTCTACTTAAAATATAAAAAAGTAGAAAAGTCTCAGGTTATTTACACATATTATTGGAGGAATTAATATGGCTTATGGAATTAATATAGTTTATAGAAGATGATTAGGGTTTGGAGAGGAGATTACCAGGTGAGGTAGGTTCAGCCATGGTCATCAACTTCATGCTGTGAGGTGAACTTGTCCCCACATCCTGCAAAGTCCTGGCTGGGTTGGAAGCTTTGCTATTATTTGTCCAACATGGGAATTACTGAGATTGTTGTCCTTTCTTTTCACTTCACCCCAACTGTCTATCTTTTGTTATGCTGTCTTTTCCCTTCATTCCCTTCATACACTCTATAGTATTCATTTATTAATCCACTTGTAACTGGTCACTCTGTCCCCTCAGCCCATACCATATCACATTGGCTTCAAAGGGAAGGGTTTTTTCTGTTATGTTCATTCCTGCAATTTGAGCAACTTGACACTGCAGTGTGTGACACTTTGTAGTACCACAGATGATTGTCAGAAGAACTTTAAAAAATGATACTCCCCTACACGGGAATTCATAATAGTCCCTCATTATTTTTCAAACCAAGTCATTTACCTTATTTTAGCATTCTGGATGCTTTGTAGTCTCTTTCTATCTTACCTATCACATTGCTTTCTTCCTGTCATCTCAGGGCACTTGGCCCTGTGCACCCCTTTCCTGTTCCTTTGTGCACTTTCTCCACTTATTTTGCTTGTCTTGTTCCTTTTCTTCTCTCTTTCCTTCAATCCCATATTACTTATATGTCAGGCCAAATGTAATCTCCATGAGGACTTTTCTAAGTCCTTTAAATCAAATGGAATTTTCCTCTTTCTGTTTTATATAATACTGACTAGCTTTTATAGCACACTTGCCACTTTACTAAGTGTGTATTGTATGTCTTCATTGTAAAATCTGGACTCTTCTTAATTCACTGTTCATATTATACATCTTTCAGGTTTCTGACTACAAACTGAGGTAGGTCCTCAAAACATGCTGCACTGATTGCTAAAATATCCATTCTGTTTAACTTTGTCATGTCTTTATAATGTAAAGGCTCTGGAAAAGATAATGGGTAGAGTGGATACACAATGTGAAGGTGGTGAGTATAAGAAGTTATTAGGGTTTACATGTGGCTCTTGACAAGATGCTCATAAAAAAGAGGGCAGAAAGACACATTACTAACTAGCTCGCAGTTTATGCTGTGATATAGAAAAGTGTAAACATGTCATAAAAATATAGTGAAAAAAGTGAATGGTGACCTAGAGGAAGAAAGAAAGATTTTTCAATGGAAATGTCATTTCACTCAAACCTTTCAGGATAAGTAGGATCATAATAAACTAGTGCATGAGGAAATGAAACAGCCTGATGGAATCACATGACAACAGCCTGAAAGCAAGACTGAATTAATACATGAGTAAGCTTACACCACTGTGAAGCTTACTGATACATGTTGTATGATAATTGCAGGCAGTATAAAGGGAAGGCAGAAATAGATAGGAAATTTTTCGATTAGATTCCTTCCTTTTTTTTTTGACCACTACCCATTAACTGAATCCTTTTGTTAAGTAAGGTGTCAAATAACTCTATGTGCTCAATCCTAAAAACATCTAAATATCTGCAGTTGCAAATAGAAGAACAACCTCACTTTCAAAGAAAGCATATTAGTTTTGCATTTCAACAGCAACATCAAAGCAAGATATTGTGTGTCAGTGTACTTAGGAAACTGAAGATAAACAGTGTGAGCCAAGGGTTTTATACCCAGCTAAGCTATAGTTTCCAATGAATACATATACAAAGAATCACAGTCTTAAAGTTTTGCTAGAAAAACACAGTTATAATTGTTGTAGACAAGATCCACAAGTGGGCAAAACTTTAAGGAGAAAATGAGTTTTAATAGTCTCAAAATATCTCCCCAAGATATTTTTCCATGTATTTTTTTATTGAAATCTAGTTGACATACAATATTATATTGCTTTCAAATATATAACACAGTGATTCAACAATTGTACCCATTATTCAGTCCTCATGCCAACTAGTGCAGTTACTGTCAAGAAAGACAGATGTTACAGAACCATTGGCTATATTTTCCATGCTGCACTGCAATTCCTGTGACCAATTTATCTTATGATTGAGATTTTTGTGCCTCTTTATCCCCCTCATCCTCTGCACTCCCCACCCCAACCCCATCCTGATGGTAACTATAAGTCTCAGTGTCTATGAGTCTACTGCTGTTTTGTTCATTTGTTTTGTTTTGTTTTAGATTCCAGATGTAAGTGAAATAATACAGTATTTTTCTTTCTCCAACTAGCTTACTTTACTTAGCATTATACCCTATAGGTCCATTCATTTGTTGTTGCAAATGGCAGGAATTCTTTCTTCTTTATGGTGAATAATATTCCATCATGATATGTACCACCTCTTCTTCATCAGTTCATTGATGTGCACTCTGGTTGCTTCCATATGTTGGCTGTATTAAAAATACAGTGCAGCAACAAACATAGGGGTTCATATATCTTTTCAAATCAGAGATTTTGTTATCTTTGGGTAAATTCCTAGAATGGGAATTATTGGGCCATATGATATTCTACTGTAAGTTTTCCAAGGATCCTCCATACTGCTTTCCATAGTGGCTGCACCAATTTATATTCCCATCAGCAGTGTATGAGGGTTCGATTTTCTCCAGACATCCTCACCCGTACTTGTTATTTCTTGTCTCTTGGAAAGTAGCCATTCTAACTTGTGTGAGGTGATATCTCATTGTGGTTTCAATTTGCATTTCCCTGATGATTAGTGATATGGAGCATCTCTTCAT